CACGGTGAGGCGTGGAGCGGGGAGGCCGCGGGGCGGGGCCTGGTGCAAAGTTTCCCTCAGCCGCGGGGTCGCCGTCGCCCGCCGCCCCTCCCCGGTCGCGGCCTGCAGCCCCCCGCGGGGCACTTCGCTCTGCGGCCCAAGGGGTTTGGGAGCCCCCCTCGCTGGTTCAGACTGGCAGGGGCCTCGGGGTTCCTGGGGTGGGCGCCGGCGCCCGTGCCTGGGGCTCGTGGAGGATGCTGCGGCAGGCTGGTTTCCCCGCCTGGGCAGTGGGGACCCGGGAGCCTGTCCTTCCCGGTGCGTGCTGTGGAGGGGACGGGCAGTCGGCTTGCCTGAGGGGCTGACAGCGGGGTCCCTCTGCGCCTGCTGGGCTCCAGGTGTAGGGACTGGAGACGGCGCGTCCTATGTCTCATCTCGGGGACATCATCCTTTCCTTGATAAACTTAGCAGGTTTTGCTTGTTTTCCCTCTTAGCTGGAATCTCAACCGGGGGCTTCACCGTCACATCCTTCCCCTGCATCGTCACCGTCGCCTGCGTTGAAGCGCCTTCATCCCGAGCGGCGTGGGCAGCGCTTCCCAAACCGCAGTAGCCCGCTTGTCTCCAAAGTAAGCCGATGTGACTTGAAGATCTACAGGGATCCCCTCTGGTTAGTAAGGAAGCGCCGCTTCAAACCTGCCGTTACGGGTCACGCGTGTATGCCATCACGTGCTCACGAGCTCACGGCGTTTCGTTGTCTGTCTTTGCCATGCGGTCCGTAAAAGTCCTTCTGTGATTGTCACCGGCGCTTGCAAAAACAAAAAGAAATGCAAAACTCTGCAACTCGTGGTTCAGAGAGGATACCTTTCATTCGACGGACTAAGCAATAGCCAAAAAAAAAAGAAAAAGATCTTTTTCTGCAAGCTTCCTCAGGGTTGGGGAAAATTCAAGATGGTAAAAAGTCCCCATAGGTAGGAAAGAAACTTCATTTTGCATGGAGGAAGCTGAAGGTGGGAGTCTGTTCCGGGGGTGGGAGTTGCTTTTCGATGTGCAGATCAGGCATGGATCCTTCCCTGGGGGTGTCAGGTCGTGGAAAGACAGGGAGGTGTAGAAATCTTCCTTATTGTTCAGCAGTGAAGCTTTACATCCAAAATTGGCTAAAGTTCGGCACCTTCCATGTAACGTACATCCCTGTCAAACAAAATGGCTTTCAAATGGGATCATCTGATCTTGTGCCTGTTTTTAATTTAGTAATACAAGGCTGCTGGGTCAAAATTATGATCCTGCAGCTTTTTTAATTTATGAAGATGTGTTGCATTCCCATTGTAAAGGGGTTGTCACTGCTGTCTGCCGTTCGGAGGACGGATGCCTGTTTTCTGTCTGTGTGTTGGTCCTTTTTAGATTAAGTAAAATCATGATACCAGGAGCTGAAAACCTTTTTCTGAAATTGAAGGTTTATTTCTAAATTCCAGAGGACTCCTTTGTATCTAGTGATGTGAAACATCATGTTCATACTGTGGCGTATGTGATACTATAGTCAGGTTTTTGATTGGTATACCTTGGCTTTTGTGGACCATAGTCAAAACAGAGGCCAGTTTCCCAAAGTCAGGCATTCAAAGGAGGATAGGTCCACAAAGGAACTTGAGCGTGTAAGTTGATATGCAGGCACCATCAGCATTTGCAAAAAATTTTTCTAACCATGCAAGTGGCTAAAGTGTCTAGCACAAGTGTAGTAGACAACCACAAAAGTGTCTTGCTGTTGCCAAGCAGCTTGGTACCCCTGCGCAAAGAGGAACTAGGTGATTTCCCCACTGACTTTTTTATTCCTGCAGGGCCTGAACCATTAGACAAGCTCAGAGCTTACCTGTTGGTCAGGTCTTCTTGTTCGTTTGTCCAGTTGCATCCAGTATTCCTATGAGAACCAGATACCTTGTTTGAATCCTTGTTCTGCCCAGCGTGAAGCCAGATCTAGAACTCTGCTTTTGCGCAGGAGGAGGCTCTAACTGTAAATATTTGAAGATTCTCTTTTCACAGCAGTTCTGCTTTGCATAATGAATTAAACATTTATTTGGCCAAGCAGAGAAAAAGTAAATACAGCTTCATAGCACAGTGGTTAGGAGCAGTCATGAGACATGTGGGAGACCTGGGCTCTGTGAGGGACTTCATATTCTCCTAACTTCGTTAGGAGATACTGATAGAGTCTCACTCCAGAATATCAGATAACCTCATGGTTAGGGTTAGGGTCCTTGAATTTGAGAGAACTGGCATTGTATTGGCAGAATGGAATTTGAAAACTGAGCTCACATCTCTCAGGTGATTGTCCTATTTAGGAGTGGAAGGTCTTTTGTATTTTTCGTAAGAAAGGGCCGACCTGGTACAGGTAGCTAACTCAGTGAGACAGTTCCCAGCCGAGAATCTTGCATGGAGATAGGTGCTTAACTACCCTTGGCTTAGGTTCTGCCTGGTCCTATCCTTTCCATTGTTTCCAGTTTGCCACGCAGCTTGCTTGTTTCTATGAATTTATTTTAGGTCTCTATCTTTCCCTATATATTGTATGGGGAACCTTGCCATAACTCAGGGCTGTGAATTAGCAGGGGTGTGAATCGGGGTGACTACCCTGGGGCCCACACCTTGGGGGGCCCCACAGAGCTGGGCTGACTTCATGTCTGGCTGCTCTCCAGCATCTGGGCCCTGCACTGGCTAATTTGCCCTGGGCCCCGCACCCTGCTACGGTCGTCTCTGTTAAGGTGCTATAGATTACAACACCCAAATCCCTGTGTGGATTATGCCAAAGAGTCTTTATCCTGGTTTCCAAATGACATTAATTTTAGTATGGTTTTGTGCAATCAAACTCAGTTAGAATGAGAGCACTGCTAGCTCAGATAGCCTCCTACTTCCTTTTTTTTTTAAGTCTTGTCCTTAATACAAAAAATATATCCTCAACTCAAGGTAAAATCCTCCCCAAGAAAGGAAGCTTAAGTTTTTTCACCCACGTGAAAAAGTCACGTTACCCGGCTGGTGAGTTTAGTCTCTAACTTGAGCTGTTTACTTATGTGAAAATGCTAAGCTGCCATTTTCTTCATGAGTGTTAGCAGCACTGTGTCTCCCTTGTGAAGACAAGGGCAAAGGAGGCTGCAGACTTTTCACTTCCTTCCCTTCCCAAACAGTTTTCATGTCCTGCATTGGGGAATTGCATAAAATAGCACAGCTGTCCCGTTCCTGTTACTCAGACAGTTGCTGTAGTTAGGACATGCAGCTGTGATCTTTACTTTGCTCAATAACCCTTTCCTTACTCTGGCTCATCTTGCCAAGCAGGTGCTTAGGTCAGTTTCTTTACATATCTCGAAGGCCACGGAGATTTGAGCTGTCAGCATTTGCATGGGAAAACAGACCTGCAGTCCTGTGTTGTTAACTCTTTTACCTTTTAAGTAAAATAATGAAGATTTGGAGTGGAGTGGGTATAGTTTAAAACCTCGTCTTTCCTCTGGCCCTTGGGAGCATAGTGGCTGGAGAAAAAGGAGACTTTCAGACCCCAATATATGGGCTGGGGTAGGCAGGGGTTTGTTAGCTTATCTTCTTCCTTTTGCACTCATGTTACTGGTCAAAGAGAATAATAAGAAAAAGGACAGTTATCATTTCATCTTAAGTTTTAAGACTTTTTCTTTCCGTGGTCAACATTATAGAACTATGACACGTGTGTGTGTGTGTGGGGGGGTGGTTATTTTGCCAAGGGAGAAGGGTAAAAGGAGTATGAGAAGTCAGGTCTTTTTTAGAGAAAACCCAAATATTTATGATTTTCACATAATGCGATTTTTTTTTTTTTTTCCATACAACATTGACCATAATTAAGGTTCATGTTGGACTATCAGGTAGCAAGTCATAGGTCTTGCAAGAAATAAGGCCTTTTTATATTGATCAACAGCAAAAGAAACCAATCGAAGAATTCAACAGCGGGCTTTGATTTTGAGTGTCTTTTTTCTTGTTTGCTTTTTCCTTTCTTTATTTGTTTTTCTCCAAATTTCATGTCAAAGAATTGCTTGTTATAGTTGTCTGTTGTGATTCTAGAAGCATTAACTCAGCCACACTGTACATTCTGTATATTCTATATATGCTAATAACATAGTAAAGTTTTAAGTTTTATATTTTAAAGGAGAAGAATTTAAGAGAATTGGGGATCTTGAAAATGCCAGTATATCTGTTCTCTTGAGGAGGAAATCCAGGACTCCTTGAAGTCAAAGGCAAATTTATGTTGACTTTCAGTGAGATAAGGATTTTCCTCAGAGTCTCTTAGTACCTGCATGATAAAGACACCCAAATCTACTGGTTTACAAACTGTAGTCCATGCCTTATCAGTGGCGTACAAAAAGCTTGTTGGTTTCTACTAAGATCTAATTGGTCCTATGGCGTAAACACTCTTCATTTGCATCTGCTAAATCACACTAAAAGGTGTCAGAAGTACACTGAATAGTTTCCAGCTATTTTTTTCCGTTTAAGAGATGCTTTAGTTGCTACATAGCTGTTACATAGCTGAGCAATGGAAGTTGGATAGTTGAGGGTGGTCAAGACAGTACTTCCTTAATCTGTGGTTGGTCTGTATTGTAAAACAGGCAGGCAACCTACAGCTTAGGGACAGATATGGCCCACAGAGCCATTTGATATCGCCTACAGATGTGGGGCTTCAGCAGCAGTTGATTTCCCCTGCTGCTGCAGGCAAAAGTACCTGGGTGTGGGGAGGCTTTCCTTTTGTTGCCATATGGGAAAAGTGGGAGTGGCAGCTGAGTCCAAGCACCTGGCTTCCCGCCTCTGACCCAAACTGGGCCACCCCGCCTCTCAGCCTAAAAAGCCTGCCAACCACTGCTATAAAATATTTGATGACCATTGTTTTAATTTGCCTTTTCTCTCTTTGTCCAGACTCAAATTTCTTTGCATTAGTAACTCTTCATGAATTTCAGCTGCCTCTTAACTGCAAATGAAATTTTCTTCCC